CAGGGCATCTCTTATCCTGTCTTCCACCGGGGCATAGTGGAAAGTGCTACCATTGATTTGGTAACACTTGCACAGATGTCTGTGACTACACAAAGTGACACCCGTAATGTCCTTTTCACTGTTCTGGCCACACTGTTTTATTTTCACTAGATTTACTGGGTGTTGCTCGGATCCTTAACTCCATTCATTTTTTTGAAAATACAATGAAAATATCCATGCTTCATTGAAATCACTGCTCTAGGCTGGAGCTTGAAAGGAGGGGGTCAGGAGGCAGGCTGCCCCAGGAAGAGAGGGCAACCCCAGTCATCTTACCGTAGCAATTTGGGGCCAGGTGAGATTCATCTCTCCATAGCTGCTGCAGCACTAGTGGGCACACCCTGAAGGGGTGCATGTCCCCCAGCTGAGGCAGGTCCAGTTTGTCTGCTCCCTGCACTCTCCTGCCAGAGTGGGGAATGCAGCAAACTGTGCACTTTCCCCTCGCTCCCTGACAAAGGGGAACAGCCAGCAGTGTTCTGGTATGAATCTAGTAGGGACAAGGAGGAGCCAGTCCCTTTCACCTGCCTGGGGTGATTGTCTCTTTTCTGCATGGTTAATAAGAATTAATCCCATTCCAGGCACATCCAAACCCTGAATTTGCTTTAAGTTATGATGAGAGGAAGCCACATTTGGTACGCCTAGCGCTTACTGCATTGGAGGAGTTCCTGAACAAACCCCCAGACAGACTCTCTTCAGTATATAGCAGACTGTGCAAGTGAAGAGCAAACAACAGAGTCAGTATTGCTTTGGTTAGGTATATCCCTCTGCTGCAAATATTGCAGGAAAGAAACTTTGAGTTTTGTTTTAAGTCAACATTTCCATGAACTCTAAAGTAAACAGAGGGAAATTTTCAAGAAGTTTGGGATTTTGCCAGACTAAAAATACAGAGAGCCCAACCTGAGTTACTTTCATCCCATTTAATTAAAAACAAAAAAACCTCGGAAGATCCACAGAGGTTTTCCTGCCTCTGCTGCTCTGCTCAAGTTGTTTGTATCCACATGCAGGAGTAACACAGATGCTTGTGTTCAAATTGACTAGAGGAAATAACAAAGGAGAATGTTTCTTGTGTAAACAAAGAGACCGAGGAACGACAGCCTAAGAATAAATGAGGTGGCAGAAAAAGCAAAGGACCCAAGGCAGAGACATACCCACAGGATGGAGGGCAGTGTGGGCAACCTGCGGCCCATGAACCACATGCGAGGACACTGGACTAGCAGGACCTTTGGTCTGACCCCGTGTGGCCGTTCTGATGTTCTCGTCTAGAGCTGAAATGTATCTGGCCCACTAGACCCCACTCCCTTTCCAGAGCGGAGAGCGGGCCCAGGAGTCCTGACAGGGCCTCTCTCTCCCGTCTAGAGCTGAAATGTATCTGGCCCACTAGACCCCACTCCCTTTCCAGAGCGGAGAGCGGGCCCAGGAGTCCTGACAGGGCCTCTCTCTCCAGAGTTCGTAACAAAGTAAGAATTGACATTACAATTGTATGGCTGCCCAGTGTCCCTTACGGGACTTGCCACAAGATGACAGAACGTGTGAGTGTTAGAGCGGGGGAGGGGGGGGTCTAATATCGATTTAATTTCCTTTCTTTTATCTAGGAATTCGATACAGTGCTCCTGCCAGCTAACGACTCAGGGAGAGTATTCCAGTACCTTGGTAGCCCGTGGATAGAGATGATGTGTACGGTGGGGAAGGAGACTGGGGTTGCTTCCCCCTCCCCATTTGGTGCCTAGCTTATTCTGAGCATGCTCAGTAACACTACTAAAGCCTCCGTCCTCAGACACCCCCTCCCCTCCCTCCATGCGCTCGCTCTCTTCTCCCTCTACCATCATAGCACACACAGGTCCCACCGAAATCTGACATGGTGCCTTCCCGGCCACATGTGGCCCATCGGGGTTCTGAGTGTGGCCCGTAAGACATTTTGTTTACTGTTGACCTCGCACAGGGTTTCCAGATTCTGCTGGGTTTTGGCCACCTATTTTTTTCCCTAACAGTGTTACTAAACTGACACACACATAAAGCAAGGGCAGGTGAAGTGAGGTGCAGGCTGATCGCACACAGCACTGACTGTGAGAGCCCCGTGCTTCCTCTGAATCCAATCACAGCGCTGCTATGGCTCAGTTGGCACAGCCTGCACATTACAGGCAGGAAAACACAGGCAGCAAAACTAGCCCGTCCCGGGAGACTGTCTCGATTGTGACAATCTTGCAGCCCCCTGAGATGAAGCAGGGCCACACTCATTAGCCTAGGTTGCCCATCACTGATCTAGGGCAGCTACTCTAGACGGCTCCCACTGAAACTTGTTAAAACAGTGAGAAGTCCTGTGGCACCTCGGAGACTAACAGATTTATTTGGGCATCAGCTTGCAGGAGCTTGCAGGAGTAACCACTTTGTCAGATGCATCTGATGATTTTGCAGATACAGAGTTCCTGCAGCGGTTCCCACTCTTTTCACATGGACCCCTTTTCAATCTATTAAAATTTCTGGGACCTTCCTCTCCGTGGGGAAGAGGGGGGAAAAAGAAAAAGGAAAGAAAAGTAAGTGGTGGACCCGATCCTTATTTTTAAACTTTCCACGGACCCTCGCAGTACCGTCACGGACCATCAGGGGTCTGCGGACCACAGGTTGGGAACCACTGCTACACTGTCGGGAGCAGTCCTTCTGAAGTCCAAGTGACACAGCTCTGTTTAAATGTTATCCAGTCCAGTTGCAGGATCAGCAACTTTAAAGGGGAGAAAGTGGCTGTTGGGGGGCGTTTCAGATCTCTGATGCACACAGAAGGACACACATACAGGTACACACAGTCACCCGCTTAGCTGCACAGGGAAATCGACCAGAATAGCTTGGGTAGGATACACTGTTCTATTCCAGGCAATGCGGATGAGGCAATATCTTTTATTGGACCAACTTCTGTTGGTCTTTAAATTCACACCCAACCTTCTTCCAAAATAACTTCTCCATACAGACAAGCCCTCTTAGGCTGTGTCCAGACTCAAGGGTTTTTTCGAAAAAAGTAGCCTTTTTTCGAAAAAACTTCACCTGCGTCTAGACTACAGCCACGTTCTTTCGAAATTAAATCGAAATAACGCGGCTTTTCTTTCGATGGCGGTACTCCTCATTTCATGAGGAAGAACGCCTTTTTTCGAAAGTGCTCTTTCGAAAAAAGGTGTTCTTGAATGCAAACAGGGCTTTTTCGAAAGAGAGCATCCAGACTGCCTGGGTGCTCTCTTTCGAAAAAGCGGCTTGCTTTTTCGAAAGTACTGCTTGCAGTCTAGACGCTCTTTTTTGAAAGAGGCTTTTTCGAAAGTATCTTTCGAAAAAGCCTCTTTCGAAAGAGGCTTGCAGTCTAGACGTAGCCTTAAAGGGGAAGAGTATGCATCGAAACCTGGAAAGTGGCCTTTTACTGCTGCATGCCTAAGCCAAAGAATTAGTGCCGGATCCTCGTTTGCCCTTGCCTGTGTGTTAGCCTGGGGGTTGTACTGGAAACGCTGTGGCTCAGGGGTCAGCTACCTGCATGGGCAGATGCAGAATCTGCTTGACTGTGTCCTACCTGCCACATCCACCTCCTCAAGCAGCCAGCTTCCACCCACCAGGGCTCTGCCTCCACTAACTGCTTCCTATGCAGTGGGCCAGCCCCTCTCAGCTGGGATGGGGTATTCCGGATGATTTCACTGCCTTCATGGGGTGGCGCCAGCAAGAGCAGAATCTGACCCCCTAGCCGCTCCTCTGCTTCCCAGCCCGACACCCCGC